TCACTGTCCTTGCTGTCATTAGTTGTATAACCCAGGAAGGCTACTTGACCTATGCTCCTTTATCTATAGAGCAGAGATTATAATATTGACCTCACAGGTTTATTGTAAAGATTAGATCCTGTATCTGATGAGTATCCCATAGCATATTAATGTAAAAGTCAATTAATGGTGGGAAAAAAATTAAGTTGTCACTGATGCTATGAACAAAAACCATTCTAGAGGTGAAGGAGTAAAATTATGGATCTAGTTCCCATCAAAATTCCTAAACTATTTCACTTCATCATTAATTCACTTCTGCATTTTTTCCCATTCAAAATAGAAGTTTTCAGATCTCAACCTGAATCTCTCATTGTAATAACATTTTCATCTTTCAATAGCATGAGTTTTATCACTCTCTGTCTCTTTAGAAGAGTTGTCAGGAACTTCTCATTCTAAATCTTCAATATGGCATCCTCCGTTCCTCTGGAGAGTAAGGTCCCTCACTCTCCAAATTTTATCTACTTCAAACCAGCTCTTAGATCTAATCAAGCCAGAGTCCTCACCATTCTCCAGGGATATGGAATTAATCTCCAACCCTTAGTGTTCATAAAGCATGGTCCCTGTTTATGGGGCTCAGAGTGTAGACAAGGAGACCAACTGACTATGACAGACTAATAAGAAGCTGCCTGTCTTTATGAGCAGAGGTCTGTGGTAGAACAGGTGAACTGGTGCTTATGTCAGTCAAGAGTGGAGGTAGGGTGGATGCAAAGGCTGGGAGAAGCTTCAGAGAGGAAGCAACAGCTGAGTCAGTCGTTTAAGAATGAGCGTGATTTTAGTTTGGGCAGAGGGAGCCACATGACCAAAGCCTGAGAGTAGGTAGTTCTCCTCCAAGGCATTACAGCCAATGGCAGGAGGGATGGCTGAGGCTGGAGAGACACACCTGATGAAGCTGGCAAGGCCCAGGCTGGGAAGTTCTTTGATGTTACCAAGAAGCCTAAAAATAGCAGTGTTCCTTTTCCTGAATTCCTGGTGCAACTATTCTTTATGACTTATTTTTGCCAATTTTTAAAAGAGTTTTAACACAAGTGATTTACAGGCCCCTAGAGAACCAGGAAAAATCCTGAAGTTCTTTTATTTTCTTTTCAGGTCTTTCCAAGCAGTGCAGTACATAGGATTGGAGGTAGCATGACAGAGATGAAAAGTATGGACTTGGGGTTTGAGTTCCTCTCTGATGTTCTCAACATCCCCACTTCTACTGGGTGAACTTAGGCAACTTACAGCATCTCTATGAGTGTCCTTTTCTTCCATTGAAAATGAGGATAATACCAGTTTGTACATGATAGGCCTCCTATAATGAATCGATGCATGCTTAACAAATGTTCACTACTTAATTATTGTTCAATAAGCATTAATTGACCACCTACTACAGGACAAGACTTGTGTTAGATTCCTATTATACAATGATTAGTTAAATAAACAGGGGTCTATTTGTGACCTAGTTTATATTATTATAACTATTATATTAATGTAGATCTTTAATAAATACTAATAAAACAGATTAATGTGTTTCAGCCACATCAATATCCTGTCTGTGGTTGGACCAGTTCCTCCTTGCCCTGGTCTTGGAGTGTGTTACATGACTGGTTGACCGACAAGAGCTGCCACATCCAGTGTTTATGGAGCCCGCCAATTACGCAGCTGTGTAGCCTTATCAGCTCTTATTCTAACTGGGTTCAGTAGGTGAACTGACCTTGGAGGTGACCCTAGATGAGACCAGTCTCAGGAAGATGACTAGGCATGCTCAAATCTAATTTTTGGCATGGCTCAGTCATATTTGTGCTTGTTGAACTGTTCTCCAAAACTTTTGATTTCTAGAACTCTGGAAAGCAAAAGTCTAATCTTCAAAATAACTAATTTTGTACACGCTATTCCACACTAAAGCAATATTTTTGATTTTACTGCTGGTGAATTGAGTGTTCAAAAGTAAGCACTGCCTAAGTTCTGGTAGATGTGATGATTACTTGCTTGATGAAGGGATCAAGCACCTGTCAGTCTGTAAGGCACAGAGCCACCAACAGCAGAGAAAGGGATCAGAGACAGGTATTATAGACAGAGAATTGAAAGTCATTCTTAAAGACAACCTGGGTCTGCTGGACTCAGGCAGAAGCAGTGAAACAACTGAGTCCAGTGGCAGATTGCCACAGTCCTGCCAATCAGAGTCATTTAACTTCTCAGCACAATAAGAATAAATTCTGTAAACAGATTACTGGTCAGTCTGTTTGCTCATGGATTGTATTGTTCTAACTTTGTCTGTAATTATTTGCTGCCAGTCTAGTTTTTGTTTAATTTTTTTTCATCAACTCTGTGTCCTGGGTATAGTGTATTTCTGGGGGCCAAAGTTTTCTTTCTTCCCTCCGGAGAAAATCCTAAGGTACCTCTCAGTAACATCCAAATCTACAGTTAGGAGTAGGGCACAAACCTACATTTTCCTCTGTGCAAAAAAAAAAAAAAAAAAGAATTCACTATCTTTAGTCTTCTTCCACACTCTCTCTTCCATTTCCTTTTGGTTGGTCTAATAGTTACTTCAAGTTCTATTTTGATCAGAGGTTATGATTCCTTATTTATATAAGCTATAGCTTCCAAGATTGACGTTAGGCAAAGACTTTTCCACAATGGAATTTTAAAAAGTGTTTTTAAACTCATATTCTAAAAGAAATTTGAAAACCTTAAAGAAGATTCTAGAAGCAGAAATGGTCACTATAGGTACCAATACATAGATAGTTGGAGTGGTGTAAATTTGGGAGGTCTAATTTTCTATGTACTCTAACTTAACTTACTGTGCATTATGTACCCAAGGAAATGTGTGTGACATTTAGAGCTATGACATCGTGTGCCATCAAATGTAAAGAAATATCTTACATATGTTAAATACTTGATGTATAGTTTTGAGATTACTTTGGAGAAATAGATCTCTTGGGAAGCCATGGGTTGTAATAAAATACATTATCTTCATCAGAAAATTAGAGGATATAGATGAAGGTGTCTGGGCAAGAGGACATCCCGTGAGAGAAGCTTGAACTAATGTTAACCAAACACCAACAAAACAGCTCCATGGTTACACTGGAGAGGTGATGAGCAGCTGCTGGGAGAAAACATTTGGGACTTTTTGAGCTCACCTCTGACCTGCATCAGTTGCATGGTGAGTCAGTGCTTTTTAACCTGAAGTAACCTGACTGAATAAATTGACTCTCTGTAATGGTCCTTGATATGTGAAGTCATAGCCCCAAATCCCACTTTGTTTCACAACTGAGCAGTGTTTATATGTGAACCAAACTATTAGTGAGTTGTAGACTGTGACAGATGGCAGAGAAAGAAGGCAGCGAAGCAGAAGCTCAAGTCATGGAGTAAGCTGGAGAAAGCCAGGCAAATCTTAGACATTGCATCCTAGGAGTGGTGAAGGAGGGTATTATCTCCAAGGGCCTCAGCTGCTTGAAAAACCCCTTGTCTTTAACATTGTCCAGAAAAACAATTAAGGGGCCAAATTCTAGATATTCAGCACAGACTGCCTCCTGGGGATTGGGCTTGGAGAGACTCATTACGGTAGGGACAAATCCAGAGTTGCGATAATGGGCACGTGCCAACGTGGCTCTAGTCAGCCCCAGGCTGGCTGCCATCAATATGGCAGAATCAGCATGGGGATCAGGTAGCTGAACCAGTATTTGCTCCAGGTTTGAAAGGAGAACTCAGACATCACTTGAACTCATTTTACAAACAGCCTCTGCGTCAGTCTTGGAGAAGTGTGAGGACTGACTGAAGGGGAGTTTCACTAGTCTTGGCTCAAATTGTCTCTTCAATTAAATTTAGCAGTCATTACTGAGCATTGATACATGTGTTGAGTATTGTGATATAAAATAGTCCATTTTCTCAAAGAATTTACAATCTAGTGTGGAAACAATAAGACATATTAAAATCACAATAAGGCAAAAATGCAAGTTCCTTGAGAGAAATATAAACAAAAAACTATGCTGGATTCAAAGACAAAAGATATATCCTACGGGATATATCTAAATTGGCTTCATGGAAAATGTCAGCTTGAGGAAAATCTTGAGAGGTAGGTTCTTGGAGAGGGAGGCATGTCTCCTAAGTAGAGGAGTTAGCATAAGCAAGTCGGGGACCAGGGAGCAAAGGTTACATTTGCATTTCGTAATATATACCAGTTTGGCAGGGAGTCAAGCATTTATGATAGTATGTTGGAAGGTGAGATTGGAAAATTGGCTGGAGCCAGATTGTGGAGGGCATTGCATATCAGAGTGGATGGGCTATCATTACAGCGTTTAAGCAAGTTTATTCCTAAAAGCCTTTTTGCGCCTGACGTCTGGGTTATATATACCCTTAAATCACAATTAAAATTACTTAATTATAACGTACCTTGAATAATTCAAGCACAGAGCCTGTTTCTTTTCCCCTAAACTACAATAGATTTCTTTTGCTGATTTAGAGATTTCAAGTGCAGTAGAACTCTGTTATAAACTTAGGAATATCCTGGGTCAGCTTATGTCTCCTGTAACCATAAACACCTGAAACAACATCACTTTCCTATAATAGACACATGAATCCCTAGCCCCAAGATGAGGGAATCCATTATGTCATTTATGTCACCTACAGCCTTACCTTTTATTTTCTGTATTTTTCTTAACCTAGTAGAGTGTGATAGGAGCCAACAAAGTCACTTCCTTCCAAATCAAAGCATTCAACTTCACTTTAAGCTAAATTTTGAGACTTTCTTTAGTATATCTAATGATGGGCTAAGGTTCAAAGCATTTCAGCTGAGCTCTGACCTTATTGTCTTAAAACATCTTAGTAAAACTTTAGATATTGTAAGAATCACTAGGCCCAGAGTCTGTAAAATACTCTCTGTGCCCTGCCTCTGCTAAAGCAGGCACTACGTAGTAAAGGAGGAGAGACAATGTAGGACAAGTCCTACTGGCCTGGCAAGGGTCCCTCCTAATTCCTCATGACGTGTCCGGTGCAGGTGACACCTTCTCGAAGGTGTGGGTAGGCAGTTAATTTATGGAGAGTAGGAGGTGTGGATTCAGCTTTTTTTTTTTTTTTCTTTTCCAGTGGGGCATTATCCAAATGATACTCATTCTCTCCTGAGTCTGGACTTCATGCAACAAGCAGTTACTGGATATTACTTTAAAAGAAGCAAAAGCCACGAAAAGATCCTGGTCTGTGTCCTTGTTTGAAAGGAAGAATTGGTTGAGAAGTGCTCCTTGGTCAAGGATTAACCCAAGGGAAAAATCTAGCAGGAAGAGAAGATCTGTGGGTTTTTCACCCCATCCCTTAGGAAAGCTATGCCGTGAAAAGGCTTCTGACCCATTGACACATAGCAAGTTGGACGGGGTACCAATTCTTCTTTTGAGGGGTGGAGAAGAGAAGACTTCTCTCGTTCGTGGCATCTGAAGGATGGCTTCCCAGTTTCATCAGCTTCGGGTTCTGGTCTGGAAAAACTGGCTAGGTGTCAAAAGGCAGCCGGTAAGTAAAATGAAGGAAGGGGGCCCTAGGATCATTGCTCCAGGCAATTTTAAAATATAGTGCTAAAGACAGGTAAAAAGAGAAGAGTTTTACATCATTTTCTAAAGCAGAAATAACATATTTAGAAATCATCCCTGCATCTGTCTTACAGCTTATGGGACAAGTCTAAACGTGCACCCGAAGATGCCTTTTGATTTTAGTAAATTAAAAGAATAAACCAGGACATGCCCCGGGCAAAGAAAAGGATGCACCTTGATACTGCTTGAATTGGAACTAGTGTTGAATTCTAGGTTTCAGGCCAAAACAGTTTCAGAAATTTTCTTAATGAGTTTAGTGAAAAATGAGATGAAGAGAAGTTTCAGATGAAAGGTATAGTAAGTAGGGGAGAAATGTACTTGAAAACCAAAAATGATAGAAGAGTTGGTTGAAAAGAAAGATAAGGAAAGGAAATAGTTTGAAAAGCTTCCAGGAAATTTTAAGTATCTAAAAATTATTGACTTGAAATGCCAAACAAGGGTCAATATATGTGCCGTGCATCGAGACCATTATTGAATCACTTTAGTGCTACAGTCTGGCTGCTCTGCTTATTGCAACATCTGTTTTGTGCTCTTACACTCATGTTTGCTTTTTAAATTACATAGCCAGCTAGTAGATCCTCTCCAGATAGGCTACAGAGAGACTGAGAAAGGAATTCACTTCTGTGAGTTGTCACGTATTCAGAACAATGTCTGAAAATTGGAGCAATCCAAAAAGGCACGCAATATACTTCATTTTAGAGTGGTAATTCCCAACTTTAACTGCATAATATAAATATGCAAATAATATGTGTCTTAGAAATCAAAGTTTTATCTATCCACCTTATCTCACTCTATGTTTGCTTTCAGGGCCTGGCACCTTAAGTGATCTGCCATATATATTAAGAGAGAAGTTCATTTGCCTTTGTGAATTTGGTGGGTAGGATTTAAAATCACAAGACATTTTGCAGTGGCATGTTGGTGGGTATTGGACATAAAGTTTTAAATCATTAATATTTTTATTTTATTGTCTTTAAATTGGAAATAACACAAAAGTAAAACTTTCCATAATTTCTCCATGGTAGGCTCTATGTGGAACTCTGCAGGAAAAGAGTCTGGGGAGGTGAATTTGGTTAGAAGACAAGAGTTGGCTTCTTGGTTTTTCTCCTCACCAGCTACATGACTTGAACAGCACATTACAATTTCTCTGAGTACTGGTTTTCCCATTTGTAAAGTGGGCATGAAGTCTACCATACCTCTTATAGGATGGTAAGAACCAAACATACTAATGTATTCCAAAGTGCTTTATAAATGGTGGAACACTCAGCAAATAGATTATAGAGGGGTTTGGGGAAATGTCTGTGTCATATTTTATTCAAAGTAATAGTGAAAGGAAATCTAGGGGAAGGGAGTGTGGGAGAGAGAAAGAAATTTATATGCAGTAAGGTTCTTAAGTGATGAAAACTCAATAGTTCAAAATAAAAGAATAGAGGAGCTGAAAACTCATCTGTGTTGTTGCTGATAAGCTGAATGCTGAGGTTGTATATTTTCCTTACAACTCAATTTTACAAAAAAGTTAAAAATAAAATACCCTCAGGTGAATAAATTTTTCCATTGAGAAATTTTATCTTTAGAAACTTTAATAAGTTTGTTCCTCACCTGTAAAGTAGCTGTCATATCAATTTTCTACTTTAGAGTTTTTCTCCATTTTAGTCAATTTCTGCTGGACATGGCAAATTTAGAGGAGATGGAAGTCAGGTATGCTAAAATATTTTTACTCTGATCCCTTATATTATTCTTATGTAGCCAGAATCCCTGAAAAGTCCCTGATAATTATACTTTTGCCTAGTGAAAGAGAAGACATGAACTATTAGTTCATTCTGGGACATCAAATGATTCAGATCTTAAGAGCACCTTGAGAGAATGGGATCTAGGACAGATAAGTCTTGGCTGCAAGAAGTGAGATCATTAGAAGTTCAGAATCTGAGGTAATACAGAGGGCCCATCTGAATCCATTATGACTGACTAGAGGGACACAAGAGACCTTTAGAAAATAATGTTGCCAAAAGAAGAAGGAAAGATAATTCTAAGTGGAAGGCTGTAGAATAAAGGAAGGTATATTTCCTCATAGTTTTGCCTAGAACCAGTCCTAAGTCTTGGTGCTGGGAAAGAAGACTTGAGGACCCAGCATGGGAAGGATATACGTGTGCCAGTGTTACTTAAGAGGGAAGAATGAAAAAATCAAGAGGCTGGAAAGTTAGGATTAAAAATCTAAAAGGAGTTTTTTTTTTTATAATGTGAAGAGAGAAAATATAGGTGAATTAGAAGACAAAATGTGAGAAGGGGTTTATAAATTTGAGGAGAGGACACAGTCTTTGTATAGGAACTGGACTTTGTCATCCATCAAGGAATTATTTAAAATGCAAGTATTTTTATCTCTATTTTTGTAACTGTTCTGAATTTGGCACTTTAAAGTATACTTTTATAACCAGGGAAATACAAGTTAAATTGTGTGACACTAGAAACATATAGTTCTTAATGAATGTCAAAGAAAAATGTTAGTATCACCTCCATGACCTCCTCTTCCACTTTATTTTCAAGAAAGCAAGTCAGTGGGAAGAATAGTCTATAAGAGGAAAAAATTAGGAATCTGCTAATGGAGAAACAAATGATATACAAGAAGAAAAACAAAAATATAGTAAAAATATTAAAGTTGAGTGAGGATTACTGAGGAAATTTATTATAAAAGTATATAGCAGACTAGAAAGTGAGAAAAGAATTTCAAGCAACTATGCAGTCTATGAAATAAAATGACAATGGAAAAAGCTACATGTTGACCTGACTTCAAAAAAGGGAAGACGGAATCTTTCATTTTTGAGGTGACTTTCCTAAAATTGTTCTTAGAGTTAATGTTCTGTCTTTTTTATGAAATCAAATGTCAGAAATTTGGACTGTTGGGGGTTATCTAACTGTCTTAATTTTATGGGGTCCCTGTGAGCTCAAGGAACTTGTCTAGAGTCACACAGTGAATATAAAAACTCAAAGTTAGATTCTTCCCCAAAAATGGATCTGTTCTTTCCATTAGCTCCTGCTGCTTCTCTGTTACTCCCAAATTGAGTTTCCTTTCCCAGTATTCTCTAGTCCCTGTCAGAGTTCAGCCCACCAACAAAGGAGGCAATTGTTAATTGCTAAGGAGGCCTTAAATATTGCTGTTTTTTTTTTTAGTATTAGTGGTAACACCAATTCTCAATTATATTGAAAAAAATGAATACTAAAGGAGTGTGAAAAAATACATTAGGCACCAACAGAAATGTTAGGTAATAGAGAAAATCAATTAGATGCAGTCGCTACCCTGCTGGGCTTATAATTTAACTCTAAAAAATAATGGAAAAATAAACATACGTTCCACTGGAGATGGTTAGCAACAGGGAGGCTCACTTAATGAGATGCTAGTTAATGACAGGAAACAGAGTCCTGGGACAGCAAAGAGACTGCAAGCTTAAAGACTAGATAGTGCAAGATAAGAATTTATCTTTCATTAAGAAGATAGGTTCTAAATAGGCATTTCAAGAAGTAACTGTAAGTCTGTATAGAAGTGGAATCTAATTCCAAACTTATGATCTGAAGAAAGAAAGTTATTTTCAGCTGTTTATTTTCTGTTGTAACTGTTCAGCTAGTGGATCACACTTTAGCTCAGTTGATGATAGACCTAGTTTTTCTATCACAGACATTCCCACAACTTGATAAACTTCTAACTTGGGTCAAATTTGACACTTCCTCCTTAATCCTCACCTTGCTCATGTAACTTTCCCTCATAGTGGCTAAAAAAAAAATGAACACTTAGCTTGAAAATTTTGGAGCAGGTTGGTCCATGCAGTAAAATTTTTTTTTGATTAAAACAACTTAGAATTAAACTTGAATCCCACATTTAATTCTGAATCAGATTAAAATGAACTAGGTCTTGCACAATTCACTCAACTACATGGTCAAATGTTCCAGGCTCTTCTCCCACTTCTGGATCTGTACCATTTACTCCTTTAATTCCTTTTAATTGTTCTAAAATTTTAGATCTACTTGTTTATAATGGTTCCTGGCACATAGCAGACATGACCATTTTATAGTTTAGTCAATCAAAAAGTAAATGAGATAAAGATGTTTAGAAATGGCAGCAATAGAGAGATAAAGTCCAGTAAAAATGTGTTGTTTTCATAAACATCATAGAAAGTTTAACAATCTTCAAAATGTATTATAATCTGTAAATATGGATTTCAGAAAATTGTCTTGATCTGAGTTTTCAGAGGGGTCATTTATGTGGATGGCAGTGTGAACTAGCAGAAAGCCCAATTAACTGAGGACTCTGTGCCACTTTTGTTTCCTTGTTTTGGGATGAAACTAAGGTTTATTCCAGATCTACAGTATCAGACTCTTATTTCTGAATATAAACCTTGGAATCCCCTTGTTGACACCAAGTAACAGTCATCCTTGGCTTATGAGACAATGCAAAAAGTAAAGAATAGAAGAGGAAGGAAAATAATGTATACTTTATATTTGAAAAGGCAAAGTTTATCTTCAAGTTTGTAATAAAAAGTTATGATTCTAGGTTATAACTTAACCTTTGAATGACTTTTAATGCTGTTATAGGCTGAACTAATAAAGGTATAGTACTGCAATCAAAGAAAGCTAGTAATGCATATCTGTAGTGGTTTGGCTACAGACTCAGTGGTTAACTGTGCAGGTGCTGAAGCCAGGCTCCCTGGGTCCAAATATCAGCTCCTCCATTTAGTGCCTTATGGAATGAAGGCTTATTTAGTCTCTTTAAGATTCTAATTTCCCATCTGCAAGAGGAAATGAGGTGATTATATTAAGTGAGGTAATGCATGTTAAGGGTTTAACATAGCATCTTGCACATTCTCAGCAGTCAGTAAATATTAGCTATTATCATTTGGAGTACTTTAGTGAATTTTGATACCAATTATAAGAATACCA